CCCGCCGGCGCGGGGAGGCTCGGCCCTAAAAGTGCCGCTCCCAGGGGGAACGGGGTCCGCCACCCCTTCCCTGCCTCCGCGGAGCCCGGCGGGGCGGGGAAGCCACACGGGGCAGCGGGAACAGCTGTTCTGGCCGAAACGTCGCGCCCGGAGAGCTCCCTCACAGCCACTTAAAGCAGCTCTTAAAAGTTTAATTGAGAACAAAAGTCTTGCCGTAACCACGCGGAGTAAGTGGAGGTCTGTCAGTATCGGTCTACACGCCCCCGGGTCCGCTTCCACCCGAGGCAAAGGGGCTGGTCCGTAAGAGGTGCTAGTTTGGCTCTAAGAGGGATCCCATCTGGGCCTTTGGCATTTCACAGTCGTGCTGGGATAAACCCCAGCAAGGTGAACGATTAGCAAAAACAGCACAGAGTTTGAAAGCGACTCACTAAACTTCATGTTTTTAAAGGTTTCAGGATTTCATCTAGGACAATAAATGTCCTCCAGATGTTAGCGTATAGGTCTAAAAATCATGTTTCTGCAAGTACAATCAAAATCTCGTTTCCTAGAGAATTCCTAGCAGTGGGTCAATTAAATCTCTGTTTTAAACATGTTCGAGCTGAAGAGTTTTCTTCCTCTTGGTAGAGTGGACTTGAAGCAAATTCTGGTCCCATTGCCAGGAGTGTGGATTTACACCCCGATTTCACCGGAACCTGAATTTGATCCTTTGTTTAGAAACCGTTTCCTTCAGTCACACAAAAATGCATAAGATTACAACAAAGAAATATTACATTAGATGCCAATCCTACTTTGTTTTTAGTAAAACTCTCTGGGTCTGCTCATATGTGATTGCAGTTAAATTTAGTTGCAGAAAGTATGTGGGGTTTTTCCTACTGGTTTTACAGGGAGAAGGAAAAAGGGTGAAGAACTAAAGATTAAATCTTACTTCTTTGATTAAAAAGATGTTTCCAAAAGTTTTGACTCCAGAAGAATCTTCCGGCTTAAAATACAAGAAGATGCTAGGATGCTAGATGCTTCCGAACATGCTAGAATTGTGCAAGGCTTTATCCCAGGCTTTTTGCCTTTTTCTGTGCTTGTTAGCCTGCGAGAGGGTACGTACACCCACACCAGCCCGCCACTACCCTTCCTTTGCTTGGGGCTCAGTGGCAGGAGCCTAGAAGGACACCTGCTCCAACAGTGCAAATAATTGGCATGAGCTTTTCTGTAAAAAGCTGCAAAACCCCCCCAAAACCTGGCTGTCTTAAGTTTCTAGTAAACTTATTTCTTTAAAGGTGCCTCTGTTCCAAAGCCTAATTTTTATGAACAGTTCAGTGCAGCATTCACAGCTTAGTGCCTATTCCATCTTACGTTGTGAACATTACTGAAGGTATTGGTAAGAAATTAAAGCTTTGTGGAGTCAAAAACTTTGTAAGTCAAACTCACAGTCGCACGCGTGCGCGCACACACACACACAGTGTGTCCCAACTTTTCAACAACAGATCCATAATGTTACCTTAGCTATACATTGTATTAGACCTAGGAAACAGTATGAACCACACAACACATCAATGTGTGTGACTATAGGTTTCAGGTCAAACACAGAGGGAAATTAAAGCCACGTATCACAGATCTCACAATCCCGCACAGCTACCAAGGCCTCTTTCACATCCAAAGCAGCATACCCTGCCATGAGAAGAATTCCTTCCCTGTCTCTCTGACATACTTTACAGGAGCTGAACGCTGCGTAAATAAATGGTGTTACTCAGGAAAATCTTCTAACAGGTTTTCCGCTGTGCAAACCATGTAAGGATCATAAAGCTCTATTCGCTACTGGGTATGTCATTCCATTAATAGAAGAGGTGAAAATTTCAGGCATAAGAAAGACATATTTTTAACAGCCAGACGATGAGGGTGATTGTGCTGGTTCAGAGTACTGAGAGTTTGTCAAGCCCCCATCACCTCATATATCCCTTCCCGACCCATACTCAGTTCCTCTGAATAGCGTTTGTAAGAATGTTTCCGGAGCAAAGGGCTGGAAACTTGCCTCAGCATCACTGCACTGGGCCATACCTAGTGATTATGTGCAACGTTATGCATGAAATTGATACTGGTTTTGCTGCATTGTACTCCGTCAGACAGAAGTAACCTAGGGCTAGTCTTTATGCCTTTTTTTTCCCATTCCCAAAATTAGTCAATATTGATGTTTTTATAGATAACATATCTAACCAGGCTGTTGCAAATTTGTTTCTTTCAACAGACCTAGGTAATTCAGCAGAGAGTTTTATTTATGTCTAGTACTTCAAAAATGTCCTCCTGCTCTAGATACTAAGTAAATTCAGGGCTTTTGAGGTTTCTATACTAGTTTAATCAGCACCTAGTCTGATCTTGTTTGCTTAATTCTAACAGTATCGGTGTGTAGATAGGGGAAGCCTTAGATAAGATCCTGTTGTTCAAATTAATCCGTATAGTTTTCCGTTTTCCAAGTAGGTGTCCTTTATGAAGCTGAACGAGTAATGCTCTCCTGTCTCACCAGACATGGAGAGGGTTCCCCTGCCCACAGAAAGCTGTAACATGGAGAGCAACCTGGGGGAAAAGCAGTTAACAGAAAACTTGCAGAATAGCCTTCTAAAGAGAAAAATTGTCACTGGGAAGGCCGCTGGAAAGAACGAACATCTTTGCCCTGTGATTCACCTGGAGCTCAGCTTGGAGCTGAAGTCTTAGTAAAGAAAATTGAGGTTGGTGTTACAAGAAGCCTTTATTTGTTCTCGCTAGGCATACAGCTTTCTATAAAAATGTCTAAGGATGGCAAGGGTTTCTAGCGTATTCTCTGCTGGCATACAGGTTTCTGTAAAAGTGCTTAACGGTTACCAGATATCTTTCTGTATGTCGAACTAATAGATGACTGAATGGCTTCTGTAAAATACTCAACAACCTAATTGGAACATGACCTGGTTTGTTGCCAAATGCAGCTGTTTTCCATTCATCCCTCGCTGTTGTGGTGGTGACTTTTGCTGCCTTTAGACAGTCTTAGTCTCTTCTTCCATGGCTAAAGAAATGCTTTGAGCAAGTCAAAGGCTCAGGATTTTAATCCTGGGAAATTGACGATGATTTGTTTTCTGCAAGATAACTTTTCACCAAAAAGTAGGGGGCTTTCAGCATAATCTTCTTCAGGAAAACTGACAGTTTTGAATCATAGCTACTCATAGTCAAAACATGATTGTCTGCCAGGTTTTGTGAAGAGTTGCTCTAGTTGTTAGAGTTGCAAAAAAAGCAATATAAACAAAAAAAAGGTCAAGCTTTTTTATCAAATAAATTCCTCACGCAGGATGAGGGTTAAAGCACTGTTAAAAAAAGGAAGGAGGATTCAGCTGTCTTGTTAAATAGCACATAAACCATCTACATAGATACGAACAGTTGTCTCCTGTGATCTGTCTCCAAGTTTGAAGTATCTGTACTGCTCCCTTCCACACACACTATTTAGTAAGTAAGGCTGAGTTTGATAGCCCTTCCCAGAGCCACAAGACTTAGAAACTGCAGATCCCAACCTTTAAAATCACAGCTACGGGAACCAAGTATGGGAGAAAGCCCGCGTGCTGAGTGAGGGACTGCTGAAAGCCGGGGACAGCAGGGAGGCAAGCAAATGCCCCATCCGTTTACCACCCCCGGGAAGGAAATGTCACCTGAAGGCAGGCAGGAGGACCTCTGGGACTCAGTGCAGCCTCCTGAAAAAATGCCTTGTTTACAACCTGTATTGGTCTAGCTTTTTGGCTACTGGAGCAAAAATAAGCGGAGAATTGCCCCCAAACCACACTCAGAACAGATTACAAGTCTGAATTCAAGGTTCTGAAAAGGCTGTAGTACAAGACCAATAAATGAGTAAGACTGAGAGCAAACTCCCACTCAGGAAAACACAGAATTAAGAAACCCACCGTAGGAGACAGGCCTTCAGGATTAGCCTACAGGATTCAGTTTGCAAGAGCCCAGTTCATTGTCTGGAAATGTCTAAAAGTGGCCAGGAAACACAGAGCCTTAAGATTATGCTCCAAGTTTTCCTTTGCTTATTAACTGAAACCACATCCAGATCCAGATGCTAGCATTTTTACACATAGGAAATTGTATCTGAACATCCCTGTCTTACTGCGTTTCTCTCTTTCCATACTGGAGGTTGAGTGTGATATTTAAAGCAGTACCATAGAGCAGCCTATATGGCTAAATGTCACCAGAAGAAGCAGCATGTTGCCCTTCTTCTCCTTCATTGCAGCCTTGCTGACCCGGCTGATAGCAATCGGGGCCTTTGGGAGTCAGAGAGTTCAACCATTCCCTTGCAGAAATGTTAACACAGCAGCTTCCCAGCCTGTCCGGATTTCAAGGCAGCGAAGGAAACGGGCTTTTGGAGGGACAATGGGCCTTTGCATGTTTATAACCTTGTGGAAGGAACGTACCAAAAACCACAGTGAAAGCTCTTGCCTTTCCCCGTTGCGTCACGTTGTTCAGACTTTCAGCACATCCGAGGCACAATAAAATCTGTCTGAGACAGTTTAACTAGAGCCTCAGCCAGCAATCTCTCATTTAAT